AAATTAAAAATTAGCGCGGTTTGTGAAATACTAGCGTCGCATAGCGGTAAAACGATGGAACTAAACTCCATTGCCGTCCTCGTCACATTATTACTCTACTTATCTATCGAGCGTATCTATATCTATCTTTGTCACACGTTATCGCTTTCCTTCGATAATATAACTGCTGTCTACCGGATTTTTCCAGTTTACCCTTTTAGTCTTACGTAAAAATCACAATAGTTTAGAACACATTGTTAGACAAGCAGCGCAATAATATGCGACAAAAAGGAACATCGTGTGATAGAAAGCAATAATGCGAAACAGATACTTTTCGTTCTTTTAAATAAAAATTTCAAATCCTTATACGTATTTCTAGAATAAAATGCTTATAGAAAGAAAAATATGCAATCATTCCTCTTGATTAGTGTTTCCACAAATAGTACAATAGTGGTTTGTTTTGAATATAATGGCGCCATCTATCGATAAGTTAGTGATCCTAGTTAATTTTAAAAATAAATTTTAAAAATACTTATTTCTGCACTTTATGATACAAAATGGATATGAAAAAGAAGGATCTAATTAAAAAAATGCAACTAATAAAAATTCACAATTCACAGTTTTTTAAATTGATTTTTTTCGCAAATAGATATTTATTTTTTATTTTTTTAATAAAAATAGCTTTAGTCCTATGGTTGTGCTACATATTGTTATAAAATTTATATATATAGAAGAAGAAAAGAAATGCTTGGTATAAAAATAAACATATCTTGATATGTTAAGTATCACAGCAACTAATTCTTATACTTCTTTGCTCCCGTTGCTTTTTAAATTTTTATGTTGTTAATTTTCAGGAAATTATTTATGATTGAGCGGCTTGATTAGTCTATTAAAAATTTCTTGATTGTGAATGGTAGTTTTATATGCTATTTTTTAAATTGATTGATCATGGTTTTCTTGTTATTTAAATAGTTGGGCATTTTATTATTTAAATAATTGGGCAGTACCAAATTATGTCAAGGTCTTGCAATGTGTTGGCTACAATATTACACGAAGCTGAACCAAACCAATCTTGACTAATCAAAAAATCAAGATTGTAATTCTAGCCAGTTCTTGCTCTATTAACCCATACTATCATATGTCTGGATATTCCTTTGTATGAAACCAGAATTTATTAGCTGTAATAGTATCGAAAATAGTTATCATTTGATATTCTGTTTTCTTCGATGTATGACTGAATTTTTTGCTTAATAGCTTGTATACAGTTGGTGTGTGAGACCAGTATGTTAGGTGTTTGTTTGCGCTGACACTACTTTTGCTTCTTTGTTTGTCATTTCATTACCTTCTATGCTGACCTGAGCTAAAATGACCATATTATGGTGATAAGAATATTTTGTCATGTTTGCTCTGAATTGCTGCAGTTCTTTTTTGATATTTGTTATATGCCTGTTTGTTTTCTGGGATACAGAGAGACAGATTTTAAACTTTGCACAAGGCTCAATGAATCTGTACAAATTAAGTAGGAATTTGCAAGGTCTTTATTGGTATAATCTACTGCTATTTCTATCAAGCATTCTGTCATGTAAATAGATGTTAGCTTTCTTTGATCTTTGAAATTATGCATGCTGCTCCGACTGATAGCATGTTTGTAGATTTAGAACTGTTCGCATATATTAGAACTGTTCATGCTATTGATTATTCACTAACTCTTAGAAGATATTGTTCTCAGCCGAAGCTGAATGGGTAGCTAGATTGTGATTTTCGATTATCACCGGTTGTTCGAATTCTGTTGTATAGTTGATAAGACTGCATGTTAGGTTTGAGAGTATTTCTATATTGGGAATTCTTCAAGTATTTGTAGTATTCTTACTATGGACTAGTCTTTATTAATTGTGGGTCTACGCACAAGGTATTTCGTACACTTTACAGGAGTCTTCTACTATGTCATTCAAATGGTGAGAATTATTTGATATAATTCTTAAAATATATGTAGATACTAGGGCTGTTATCCGGTCTATAATATTCAGAATTTTGGCTTCAGCTTGTATGACGTTGGTTGGTCCTTCTGTAACCAAAGACTAGTCTGATTGCATCGTTTTGCGCCTGTGCAAATTAGAATTATTGGAAAATATCATAGACACATAGTCTATTTTTGCTCAGATGAGGGATTTGTAAATTAGTAGGATGGTTTGTGGATCGCAGCCCCACCAAACTTCTCTTAGACTTTTTCAGGATCTGTATTTTAAGGTTAATTAGCTCTACTATTAGAGCTATATCATCTGCATAACCATAACATCACATAGCAAGTTATCCATGATATTATACACATAACACTCCTTCTTGAGAAAGACCTTTGTGAATGATGCGGTTTTGGCAGTTTTTTCCAAATTGCTACTATCTGCGAATTGTGCTTATCTTTTTTGTACATCCAATTGAAAGTGATGTGAGTAAGATTTCTTATTATTATAAGGTGTAGAAGCTACTGCAGGAGAGAAAGCTAACATGCTTTTACATGTTATCAAAGATGCTATTAATATCTAGAAATATTATTGCTGTATATTTGTAGTACGAAACACTACTATATCTGCTGTGATTAACAGCTCTATGTTGTCTGAAAGTGGCCTTTTCTGAAGCCTAAGAAGAATATTATTGTATTTAACTCGCTAGAAGTCGCTAGTTTATGAGTCTTTTCATCAGCTTGCTCAAACAAGAGGAAAGAGTAATTGTTGCCATTTTACTTGGGTGGAAAAGATTTGCATCTTTCCATTGGTTTGAGATTGATGAAAATATGCAATAGAAGCAATTTACACTTATCTGATAATGTTATACTGTTTGGAGCAGTCTGTATTTCAGACTAAATGGAAACAAATTGAAACAAACCGAAGCTATCTTTCAAGCAAATTGAGCATTTCAGAGTCCATGACTCGATTAACTCGAGTGTTCACAAATCGAGCAAATGAGATAAATCAGATAAATCAAGCGAATTGAATATTTTAGTGTCCACAAATGGAATAAAGTCAAATTGGAGTATATCAGTGTCCTAGAAGCGAGCAAATTAATTTTCAATCTCTATAAAATAATCAAATTGGCGAGTTGCCCACGTGCAAAGCATCCAAAGTAAGAATGCCCCATTCAGATAAAAACAAATTAAAGAGAAATAAATCTACATCCACAGAGAATGTGGTAAACCATTTAAATAAAAAAAAAAAAAAATTACTGTATCCTCCCTCGCATGAAGGAACAGAAGTAGTAAGAATTTAAAACGAACAAAACGAAAATTATAAACTTTCTCAAAGCTGATGCCATAGATATGAAAGCCAGATCCTTCGGATGCGCTGCATCATATTCCCAAACAAGGACCAGAAAAACACTGTGACGAATGAAATAAGCAAGAAGTGGCAGCCTTCATTCCGAGATACAATCTAGAGAAGAATGAACAGAAGGAAATAAAACTGACTCCCCAGCGAATCTATTCTTATTACTTTTGAAAGATCTTATCGGATTATATTAAAATATTTAGCCTACGTTGAAATGAGATTTACGTCTACGTCAATCTCATTAAAACATGGAGAAACTGCTACATATATAGACACATCACACCATCACACTCGCAGAAGTAGCAGAGTGCACTGTGGCAAAAATAGTACAACTGAAGAACACAAATGTTATTCAAAAAATATCTACATTGCCAAAAGGACTCAATCACGTTTTCTCAAGAATGTGAACACTTTCAATATAACAAATAAATCAATGAGATAATGGTTTTTGAAAACAAAAGGAGATCAAATCACAAATAGT